ATGTAAGTGGATAAAATAAGAGTGCAAAAGGAGAATAGTTATTTCTTTGAAAATTACATTGAATGCTTTGGAAAAGAAAGGCTTTGATAGGAAAGTTGCAAAAATAAAAGAGTGTGTTGAATCAATTACGGACCAGACTTGTAAAATATTAGGGAAAAATCATGAAATCTAGGATTCTGCTGTTGTATCAGTCCGTAATTTCTACTCTGATAAAAGAAATTCTGAGGTTCTCTGTGTTCACCTGGCTAGCCCTCCAATTTTGGGGACAGCAGTTTGCCTTGTGACTTCACCTCTCTTATGGATCTAAGAAGAGTTGTTGATTTTTCAGTCTGTCTAGCTTTTTACTTGTCGTTGGGACAGAGTGGCAACTTCTAAGCTCCTTACATGCTGGACCAGAAACAGGAAGACCTCAATCCATCATTTCTAAAAATTTTTGAAGAGCCAGAAACTGGAATTCATTGATGATGCATTATAGATGTGATTTATGTAAGAAAGACAAGGAACTCTATTCATTGAGCCCATTCTCAAAAAAAGAAAATGCTATGGCCCAAAATTAACAGATTAGGAAATGAATTTATATTTATGTGTTTTAAGTAAAAATAGTGTATAAGGTGCATACACATATATATATTTAAATTCCCTGAGTTATGTTTTCATTAGTTGAGCAGCCTCTGTATGAATAAATGTCTGATGTACATTATACAATAATGTAGACCATGTAAAATAAGTGTACTCATTGAGTGGCATTACATGTACGATTAAAATAATTTTTCCTTCACTCTCTTTCTCTTATTTGAATCCGACTTGATGTGAGAGAAATTGATGTGCTCATCAATCCAGCGATTCAAGTCCTAATTCTAAACCTGGGTGGATTAACTAGGTTAGATCCACCAAACACCACAGGGGTTCTTATGACACCAAATCACTAGGGCCTGGGGGGCTGGCTTTGTAGAAGTTAAAATAAGCACGGAGACGGAACTTGCCTGCGTGTATCAGAGAGGCTGCGTTTGTCTCTAGGCTGCTGTGGTGCAAATCCTGGCTTTTCTAACTCTCAAGGGCAAGCCACTTACATTCTCCCTGATCCAGTTTCCTTCTTTGGAGGTTGTCACAAGGATGCCATGGGTCAATCCATGTAAAGTGATTAGCACAGTGCCGGGCACAGCGTGAATGCCATACCAGGGTTAGCTATGGCTCTTAGGATTACCATTAATCATTATCATTTTCCCTCTAATTTGGCTGAGAGGTTCTTACCCCAAAAGTGTAAAATAAATAAAATAGTGCATTTAATGTGAAGGCACAGATGTCCACTCACCTATAAATTAGGACAGCAAATAAGTTGGACCCCTGACTCTCTGCAAAAGCACAGCATGGCAAACAGTGGGTGTTCGGGGAGCAGCTTGCTTGAGCATGATACGGGGGTGGGGAGTCCCCAATTACCTTCCAGGGAGGAAAAGAATGAATGTTGCTTCGAAACTCAAAAAAAAAGTTTATTTATAAAATACTGACAAGTTTGACAGGACATGGGACTTCTCGCGGTATATATTTCAAATCAATTTCTTTCTTACCTTTCATTTAAAAAATAAACCTGCTAACAAGCTATATGACATATAGATATATATATTTTTTCTTACAGATAGACACCTGCCATAATGAATACTCTCCCCATAATTTTTCATTATATCTTTTAAATCAAAAAATAAAGATTTGTGTTGGTTTTCGTTTTTGAAATCTATATGCGTAAAGAAAGGTAACACGTTTAAATGCTTTTGGTTATTCTTACGGAAACAAAGAGAAGGGGGGTGGTCCCAAGAGGGCATCTGTGCTCAGGGTGGTGGTCGGGGCTGCAGCTGGGCAGGACAGAGGCACTGGGAGCTGGCGGCTGCTGCTCAGATGGAGCTCCTTCCCCCTCTTGCCCTCCAGCCCCTCACCCAGTGTGGGCACCTTCAGATGTGCACTGTGGAAGGTGAGGGAAACCTCAGCCCAGACTTGGCTTTGGGGAGGCTCTGGCACCTTTAAAAGCTCTGCCCACGGAGGTGTGGGCAGAGAGAAGGCCTCGAGGCAGCGTGCTCCAGGCGGGGCAGCCAGAAGTGTCCTTGTTCCCTCTGAATCAGGGCAGTGTCAGGTCGGGGGACAGGAGGAGAGGCAGCCTGGGTGTGCAAACTCCCTGGAGCCCTGGGAGGAGGGTGCTTCTGGAACCCGGAGCAGCTTTTTGGTTCATCTTGGCAGTCTGCGTGGGGAGCTGATGCAAACACCAGAGGCATGGCCAGGAGGGGGAAGGGCAGCCCCGAAGCGCCAGGCGTGGGCTGCCGGGTGCAACACCAGGAGACTCCCTGAGGGCACAGCAAGGCAAAGCCAGAGGTGCCAGGTGGCGAGTGTCTTGGTGTGAACCTGCTTCAGGTGCAGGTACACGGACAAGTCAGGGAGGCCCCCTGTTACCCCTGGGCTGTGCCCACCACACCCTTCCAAGGCAGCCAGGAATCTGGGGGTGCTGGGAGCCTCCACTGCCCCAGCAGATATGTAAACAAGGGTGAAGAGATGTCCTCTTACAAATCTAGGGCTCCACAGCTGGAGACCTGGGCTTCCAGATGTGGCTGGGGTGGTGGAGGCAACACTTCAGGTGGGTGGGTGTGGACTAGAGGTGAGACTTGCACCTGGGGCTCAGCCCGCCTTCATGGGCTCGTCTAAGGGCTCTGGTTTGCACAGCGTCCTCGCCCTCTCAGACCACAGATCCCAGCCACGCCCCAAGTGGGAGTGACTCAGGCTGCCTGTGCCTCACAGAGGGACAACTCAAGCCATTGGAGGGAGTCCAAGAGGCTCTTTGCTAGCACACATGTGGATGTGCATCCTGTGCGTATCTGCATCTGTGTGTGCACGTGCGTGAGCCCAGGCGTGCACGGGCGCCATCCCGAGCGTGCACGTGTGTGTCAGCATGGGTGTGAGTGAGCACGTGGGGACGGGGAGGGTGAACATCCTAGTGCACCAGGTGATTCATAAAGGCAAAGGAAATGTGGCCTCATGTGCAATATATACACACACACACACAATGTTTTTACTCATCCCCGCTTCCCCCGCAAATCCCTCACTGGGTTAGGCTAAAATAATTCCCTAATGCAAACTGGGAACTTCCTTAAATGGTTAAACACGCGGCAGAGAGGGAAAAGGATGAGGTTGTTTAAAAAAAAAAAGATGAGAGGAAAGGAAAGACGAAGGGCAGCGTGATCACCCACAGGCAGCTGTGGATGTGCTGCCATGGAGATGCCAGACGTGAGCAGGGCAGAACCTCGGCCTGCGTCCTCCTTTGCGGGAAAGAGTGTGCTTCCCTTCCAAACCCCTTAGTGGAGAGGCCGCCGTTTAGACCCCGGAGCTGGGTCAGCCTGTCTGCTGAGCCGTCTTCTAACTTCTCCCCCTTACGTTTCGGGGGGTCTGCGTGTGTAGGGAGGAGCCCACGGCTGGGGGTGCCCTTTCCTCAGGCCCTTGGCCCTGCTTCCATCCCAGTCACCTGATTTGGGGCCAGTGGGGAGGGGTACAGGTCCTCTCTTCCCTTAGCTTGCTTCCCAAAACCTCCACTCAGGCATCCCCTAACTGTAATCCTCACCCCGCAAAACAGGCCCCAGCCCCCTCCCAGGCAGGGCCAGCAGTGTGTGTGCTTGGCACCCCCAGTGAGCGCTGTCCCCCTAAGGGGCCCCATGCTGAACAGAACGTGCCCCTGCTGGGCATCTCCTCTCCCAGAGGCAGCCGTCCGCCCCCAACCGTGGGGGTGGGCTGCTCCACAGGGCCTGCTGGGGGCACCCGGGGCGCAGGACAGCCCAGGGAATGAGAGAGAAAGGCTCCTCCCTCAACCGCTGCATCTGGAAGTCATGAGCCGATGGGAAGATCCAGGCCACCAGAAGTGGCTTTTTAAAGAACATTCCTTGGAGCAGACTGTGTGTGTAAAAGCTCTGTCTCCCGTCAGCTCTTCTTGTCCCTGGGTCCCATTTGACCTGCTCCTCCCGGCCGGCCAAGCTGTGCATCTCAGGAGCTGCGTCCAGTTTGGACGAGGCCTCTCCTTGTTCTGAGCCCTGGCTAGGCTGAGCCGAGCTTGGAAAACATTACTGGGATGGTGTTTGACTCTTTGTAACCTGGGTGCTGCGCACCCAACTGGGCAAACTTGGCCTCAGACCAGGGCCTTGGCTAGCCCTCTGGGCTCCTGTGTGCCTGTGCTTGGGAGGCAGGGAGTTTTAGAGCTGTGGGTTGAGAGCGAGGACACAGACCTGAAAGTGAGTGTCCTGTTTGGCCAGGAGGACTCAAAGGGATTTCTCTTAGAGGGGATCCCTAGATCCCTTTCTTTGCAAGTGCACGGGGTACGTGTGTGTATGTGCGTGTCAGGAGGAAGGTGTCTCTCCAGGGAGAGGGCTGTGTCTGCCATGGAGATCCCTTGCCCCTGCTTAGCTCCCCAGCCCCAGGCAAGCTGCATTTCCTTGTCTAAGTGGCTCCCTTTTCCTCTTCCTTTAAGGAGAGGGCAGGCAGTATCTGAATTAGAAGAAAGAGAAAAGTCAAAGCTTCCTTCTTACATTCCTGACTTTCTACATTATGCCCAATTATCCAGTGATGCCTGGCCAGTGCCCCTACCTCTGTTCCCCGAGTTCATCTCTCCCAGTCTGTGCTCAGGAAAGTGAATTCAAGTAAAGGGATGGCTGGGCTCAGGGGCGGGGGGACTCTCCTGCACCCCAAGGGGGCTTCTTCCTTGGATTCACAATAAAAAAGTATGTTAGGAACAAGGAGCAAGCTGGACAAATTCTCACCCTTTAGTTGTTTTCCTTTTTCTAAACAAACCAAATGCTTGGTGGGGAAGTCGATCAAGGAAAGGGGTGGTGGAGGGTGAGGAGCAGGGCAGGGGGCGGTGGACAGGGCCATCAGATGCCTGCCAGCAATGCACAGGGTGGAGGTGGGAGGGTGCAGAGAGAAGAGGTGAGCTCTGCTCCCAGGGATGCCCCCCCTTACATAGCATCAGCCAGCACTGGGCCCAGGGCTCCACACATGCTGGAAGCGGGCAGCCAGCTGGATGTCCAGAAGCTTCTTCTCCCCTCAGCCACGCCTGCCTTGCAGCCCTCCAGTCCTTTGCCTTCTCTGCCTCCCTCTCTCCAGGGGCCCCACCCACTCCATGTCCACTGCAACTGCTCCCCCAACTCGGCGCTGACTGCGAAGGAGCAGTGAACCCTACGATCTTGAGGCCGACCAACCGCTGGCCACACGTGTCTTCTCATGGTTTTCTCCTCCCTCCTTCTCAGCACCGGCTTTGCTGGCCCTGGAATCTCTGGAAAAACAAACTCAGGAGGTTAAAAGTTGACTTGGTTTCTTGGTGTTTTTGTTTTCTGGCAGGCGGTGCGGGGAGGGCTGGAGGGGGAGTTTGGTGCCATTTTTCTTTCTTTTTCCTCTTCCAACGTCAAACAAATGATGAAAATCCTGCTATAGGAGCCCGGGAGCCAGGGGCCAGGCTGCTGGCGGGACGGTAGAGGGTGCTCTGCTGACTCGGGGGGTTAGGGGGGTTTTGGGGCGTTGGGGTCCGACTGGCCTTGGGCCGAAAGAGGCTGCCCTGCTGGGCGCTGCTGCTGTTGGCGACGGTGGCATGGTCCGGCTCGCCCGAGTCGCTCTCTGTGTAGCTGTATGCCTGGACCCGCGAGATCCCCTTCTGCTGCCGCCGCCATGAGTTGTAATACGTGGGGTCGCTGATGTAGTGGTTGACAAAAGAGTGGGCCTTCTGGTGGTTCGGGTCCACCTCGTACTCACTGTCGCTTCCCTGGGAGGACAGAGAATGGGGGTGTCAGTGGCCTCATGGGGACAGGTCAGCATGGTCAGGGCTGGGAGGCACAGAGCACTGTGGTTTTTTTTTTTTTAGTTGAGAAAGATTCACTCGGAGCTAACACCTGTGCCAATCTTCCTCTATTTTGTACGTGGGTCGCTGCCACAGCACGGCTGACGAGTGGTGTAGGTCTGTGTCTGGGATCCGAACCTGTGAACCCCAGGCCACTGAAGGCCACTGAAGGCCACTGAAGTGGAGCGCATGAACTTAACCACTACGCCACAGGGATGCCCCAAGAGCACTGTGGTTTGAATCTCCGCTTGGCCTCTTCCAAGCCCTGGACTGGGGGCACCTCAGCCCCTCACTGCCGAGGGGTATAACGGCCTCTTACGCCCACCTTTGCTTCCTTCAGAGCACATCATGGATATGAAGCGTCTACCACAGTGTTGGCACACAGCCTGATAGGAATCCCAAGACCTGAGTTCTAAGTTGTTTAAAATTGAGGTGAAATTCACATAACGTAAAGTTAACCATTTAAAAATGTATGATTCAGTGGCATTTAGTACATTCACAAAGTTGTGCAACCATCACCTCTGTTTAGTTCCAAAACACTTTCATCCCCCCAAAGTAAAACACTGTCCCCACTGAGCAGGCACTCCCCATCACCCCCGACCCCAGCAGCAACCACCAATAGCAATCCACTTTTGGTTTCTATGGATCTACCTCTTCTGGGTATTTCATACAAATGGAATCACACAATATGTGACTTTGGTGTCTGGCTTCTTTCACTTAGCAGAATGTTTTCCAGGTTGAATTAATCACGCTACTTTATTTTCTGTATTTCTGATGCTTTGACATCTGGGGCCTTGCTGACCCCAGAGGGACTGCCCCTCCCGGGGCCTGTCAATTCTTAGAGAGCGTAAGCGGCCTTTCATATCCAGAGCCCACACGCCCACCACCTCCTCTAATGGGCTCTCACACAGGGACCCATGATCCCCTGTCCCCAATCACCCCAGGGCCAGGTACCAGACAACTGGGGACAGCTACACTGCAGAGCCCACTGAATATATTTAAACTAGCCTAAGCCTGCTTCCCCTGCCCGCCTTTCCTGTGGAAACCACAATAAAGGCTCCTCTCCACGTTTCCTCCGGCTCCCTCTGCCTTCTGCCCCACCCTGGTGCTTCCCCATGTGGCCCCTCTTGTTGGGACCGTGAGTGACAAACTGTCTTTTCAATGGCAGTCATCTCCTGATCTGTCGACCTCACCATTCCTGAGCGATCACAAAACCTACACTTTGAAACAGAGGTTCACGCACGATATACTGAGTTTCAATCCTGCTCCAGCCTCTGACATCGCGTGACTGGGGCCAAAGCCAGGGCCAGATTATAAGACCTTTAGAGGCTCCTGGCACTGAACAAATGCTGCTGCTCGCCCATTGTGATCCAGAATAAGAGCAGCACTCAGTTACAAAACAAGCATGAGAAAAACATCAACGAAAGTTCTCAATTTTCACACGATGACCACCCTGAAGCTGTTAAAAGAAGTATAACATATTACATTATTCTTAAAATCGTTGGTGCTTTTGTGCTTTATCTGCCTATTGGGGAAATCAGCATGAGACAAGAGTCAATCTGCATTGTCAAATAAAATAGCATTCAGATCTGAATTGTGGAGCTAAAAATATCGTGCGCCCCTCCCCCACCCCAAGCTGCCAGCAATGTTTTGAGAACTAATAAGACAACAGATGGGAACGCCCTCAGAACTCTCTGGAAGAGATGCACTCTGATTTTAGCGAAGAGTACACTCTCTACAAAATACAGCTCAGGAGACCCTGCTCAGGTGGCCTCATCTCTGCCCGGCTAATACATGCTGGGAGGCAGCAAATTTTATCAATCTAAGTAAAACATACTTTGGGAAAAGAATGGCAGCAAGAAAACCCAGTGAGCTCAATACAAATGAGTCTGCGATGATGAGCTGTGTCCTGCTTTACAGGTAAGGAAAGTGGAGAGCTGACCTCGCCCGAAGGGTCTGAGCGATGGGAAATGTAACATGCACTTGTTCTCAGGAACTCAGTCCTTTATGGCATCCAGACCCTCAAGAGAAATAGGTACAATGTACAGAACTATCATGATACCAGCTCCCAGAGCAGGTGCTCTGCCAGACAGCAGGAAATGCTGACTTGCGTTCCTGTATTTAACGTTGACACCTCTGTGCTGTAGCTACTGCTGTTACATGAGTTCTGATGAGAACACCAGTACAGAGAGGTGAGGGTTTTTCGCCCAAGGAAATAATGAGCTGGGCTTGAACTCAGATCTGCCTGATTTTCCAAAGCCCACACAAGCGCTTAACTCCTACACTCCTGCCTAGGCGTCACAAGATGGGTATGAGAGCCCCTCTGCCCTCCCAGTGGGGATTAATCCTCCCTAGTCTGGCCCCTCTGCTCCTCCTCCTCACCCCTCCACAGCCCCAGTGCTCTCCTCATCGCCGCCCTGGCAGACACCCCCAGGACCTCAATCTTCTTGGCAGGCAGAGCTGGCTGCCCAAGACAATGGAAAGTCCCTCTCCTGGTCTCCCCATGACGCAACGCAGCACAATACAAGCCCCTTTCTTTGCCTACTGCCCAGCTGCTGGCTCAGGAGGCAACAAAGGGGCCGCACAGATCAGAGGGTTCCATATGCCAAGAGCAGGGCAGGGGCTGAGGGGTGGGCACCTGATGCCTTGGGCTGCGGTGAGGCTGGCCCAGAGGCAGAAGTCTGAGCAAGGTGTAGTGTGGTGGATACCATGAGGCAGGAGGCTGGGGTTCCCGGCCCAGGAGCACTGAGGGTCTGTGAGTGTGCGGGGTGACAGAGGGGTGCCCCACAGTTTCCCCTACAGGTTAGGTCTCTCCAGGAGGGCACCTGCTAACTGGCTGCATAGTTGTCAACATCATTGCTAGAGGTTCTAGAACTTGGCTAGCCCCAGGTCTCAGCCTTGGGGAGAAATCCCCAAATCAGTGTGGGCCCATCCCAGAGCGAATGAGTCTCTGGGGTAGAAGGTGACCATGGCACAGTGAAGTTCCGGCTCTGTCCCTTACCAGCTAGGTAAGTTTAGACCCATGACTCAGCCTCTCTCAGCCTCAGTATCCTTGTCTGTAAAATGGGTAGATCCCTGCAGATCACAGGGTGAACTGAGCTAACATATGAGAGAATGCTGTAAAGGTATTATTAGGGAGAGAATGAGAGTGGGTTTGGGTGGGAGGGGGCCTTGAACCCCCCTAGGAGGGATCAGAAGGGGCCAGGGGATGGGGGAGGCTGACAGTGCTCAGATAGCTGAGAAGGGAGAGGCCCCTTGTCCCCTCAACCTCCCCCGTCCAGAGTGAGGCACAACTGGGTGGGGAATGGGTCTCCCTGGCCCTTCTGGGGGTCAAGATCCCAAAGCCTCTTCATCCAAATTATTACAGTCCCCAAACGAAGCCAGCGCTGTGGGAGGAGAAGGCGAGTTAGAGTCTGCCCCTCCCCCCGCTCTCAGAAGCCAAAGGAGGGGGTCTTTGCATCAGCGACGGCTCTCCCTCCTCCATCTCCGTGAACATCTGTTTCTTTTCTGGGTGGGGGTGGGGTGAGAAGAGAATAAAGAAAGCGAGAGGGGCCAGGGGCTCCCATTCAGGCTTTCAACTCTCGCAGGCCCTCGGTAATTGAATGCAGCTTCCCGGTAACCGGCCCAGCACAAAGGGGGCCTTTCACGGGCAGTCCCGCCAGGCCGCCAGGCAATCAGGCGACGGCTTCAGCTCCCGGGCCTCTTAACAGCTCCTCAAAGCTACTCAATCAGCAATTACCGGGGCCTGGGGAGCGGGGCGCAGACTCCAGGCCTGGCGGTGGGAGCAGGGAGGGGGCCAGCGGGAGGGAGGACCCCGAGAAAAGACGCGAACAAAAGAGGGAGCAAAGGAAAGCCTTTTGCTTTTCCGTTCATTTCTAGAGGCAGGGACTCTTGCCCCATGCTCAGCAGACGATGGGGTGGGCGCGTCCTGGGCTTGAGTGTCGAGACCCCGGGGCCAGGCAGGGCGCCCTCATTCTGTTGCATCTCACAAAGTCTGGCAGGAATGTGTTGCCCCAGATGACAGGAGGTCACCCCGTGCAACTCCTCTGGGGCCTGGAAGCTGGAGCCCCTCCATCATCTGCGGTCCCAGGGGCTCTGCACTGAGTCTAGCCTGAAGCCCAGCCATGCACTGGTCCCTGTGGATCCTAGCCGGGCCTCTCCTGCAGGGGCTGCAGCCTCCTGGGGATTTGATGTAGGGTGGGGGGATGTGCTAAGTGTCTCCCTCACTGGACACCCCCTTGAGGCACAATTTTATCAGGGCTCTAGGCTCCCTGTGCTAAAACAGCTGAAATCTCCCAGGAATGTCCTTTGACAATCGTCTGCTCAGACACAATGTCACACATGCTAACGGTGCCCTTACAGGTCAAGTGACAGCCAGTGTGCGCCCGCCCTCACCTGTCAGAGATGCCTGTGGTCAGGGGCCACCCTGGAGGTCACTGGGGTAGGGGGTGCGGTCGGGGTCAGTGATGGCCTCTCTCCTTCAATCTCCCCTCTGTGCCGGGCAGCTGGGAGAGGCCAGGCTGCAGCAGACATGGCCCTCAGAGCCAGCTGGGCCTAGAGTTGAATCCCTGCTGCCAGTACTTCTGAGCTCTGTGACCAAAGGCTTGCTGCTTGACTTCTCTGAGCCTCAGTTTCCCCAACTGTTAAATGGGGGTCTTCCCACGTGTGCAGTGGGGCGAGTAGATGTTAAATGAGAACATGTAAAGCACAGGCCTTGGGACAGAACAGGGGCCCAGTGTGAAGCTTTGCCTCCTCCTCCCTGAGCGCTCTCTGCCCTGCCTGTAGCGTGTTGCTAGCGGGGCACAAGCTTGGGCTTCCCAGGCCTGTGTGGGTCAGGCTAAGGAGGAGCAGGCTAAGATTCCCCGGGCCTCGCTGAGTCTATTAGATGCATGGCCCAACCTGACAGACAAGAGGTAAACTCTGAT